CATTCTTTGCTGCTGGAGCCCCTGTAAATAGGAGAAGTATTAAAATACAGTTTAACAAAGAATTTTTCCTTTTCAGACCAATCAATGAAATATAACAGACAAGCAGTTTCCAAAATTTCTCTTCATTTGAGGAACTTTCATGAACAAAAATAATCAAGACTGAACAAACAAAAGATACAAAATTTGAAGTATTTCTGTACAAGATGTTTTAGTTGTTTTTCACTCACTGTTTCTTTTCAATTTGGTTGACATATGTTAAGAGTTGTGCAGGACATGTATGAGAGATATAAGACAGTGGTAAGGTGTACTGTAGGTGTGACAGGACGTTGAAATGCCCCGGGAATTACTATAATAAATTGGAATATGTCATGTTGGGACCATTTTAAACTTTTATAATGATAATGGCAATATAGTTTATGTACAACATTTTTCAAAGTTCGTTAAAATTGCTTTGTAAAGAACACAAAAAACTGGAAGAGATTTGAATATAAGTAATTTATCAATAAACCAAACAGCTAAAAACAATTTGTTTTGGAGATTGAACCCTTTAGTCGCGTTGGATTGTTTTGAAGATTGCGACAGCCCATTGGTTCTAAGTTTTTTCCCCATTCCAAACTGCACACGGTGATGTTGTTTAGTTGCAGCTGCAGGTTTGTTTTATTGCCACTTTTAGTTGCTACTGCTTTATTCGTCCTGACAATTCAATACCACTGGCTCGTTTAATGGTTAGCGAAACATTATGCTCATTACAGCCACTGTAGTTTGCTTAATCTCAAAAGAGACCCTGTCCTTTTCATCATAGGTTCCTTTGTAGCTAGCTTACCACTACCTTCTCCAACATATGAAGTATTTGTGGATCAGTGCTTTTAGTTCCATTTCTGTATTTGCTTCTGTTTTTTTTTTTTTTATCCGACCTTGACAGACCACTAGCACCGAGTCTGGTTCTGCTGGAGGTTTCTTCCTGTTGAAGGGGAGTTTTTCCTCCACTGCTTCTGCATGCATGCTGAGTGTGAGGGACTTCTCTAGAGTCAATGGCACAAGGCAAGTAGGGATGTCCTGATTATTACTGATGGAAAAATTTGTGGGTTAATGCAGGTTTTTCTAACACGGGTCGACTCGCTAAGAACCGGTATTTGGCTTGCTTCCCATTGGCAAAAACAGCTGGGTCTAACCCCCGACTGGCAAGCTGTGTGTCCTTTTTCCCCTACAATAACCTTGTAAAGTTTATTTCTTTTAATAAAAGTGCTGATAAATCAAAAGTATTTTTGTGATATGTTATCATCAAAAAAGGAAAAAATACAATCTATGAATGTGATTTTATACATCTAGGTTCATAATAATTGTAAAACTATGCGTTTTTAATCAGTATGGATTGTTACAGTTGTTCATGCCATGCATCCATATACAGTGAGGAAAATGAGTATTTGAACATCCTGCTATTTTGAAAGTTCATTATAGTGGCATGTAACCTGAGCTTTATAAATGGCTTCCTGAAACTTTTTTTTTTATTTCAATTCAATTCAATTTCAATTCAGCTTATTTATATAGCACCAAATTCACAACACATGTCATCTCAAGGCACTTTACAGTTCAACCAGATCATACAGTCAAATTGATTCAAAGTTTTCTATCTAAGGAAAACCAGTTGATTGCATCGACTCATTGACTCAAATACAATCCCTAATTCTCCTTTAACTGTTTTTGTATTAAATACATGTTATGTTTTAAATATCTGTGGTCAAGAAAAGCCAACTACCTTGTCATGAATTTGTGACTACGTTACAGGAAATAACCACACATAACAACCCACACTCTACCACATAAAACTTTCTTGCTTCTATTTTAGGCAACTAGAGAACTCTAACAATGCCGTCTTAAGACAAACACTTAAACAACAACAACCAGGCTTTTAGCTAGAATAATTCACAGGGTGTACACCTTGGTGTATCACATCTTCAGGCTTTGTGTGGCATAGGGGGATTGGGGGTATCCTACCCAGTACAATTTAGTAATTTAGACAGGCAATCCAGCATTTTTAAGTGAAATGAAGCTAACTTTTAGTCTTTGTTACAACACTACTTTTGTTCTGATGATGGTAAGTATGTGTGCTTTACTAGAGGTCATTTTTAGGTACAATATTATGTTTCATAGGTTAATTCAATCAGAAAGCATAATACTACATTCACACCACGATTTCAGCAGCAAAAAAGGGCCTGCTGCTTCATTTTTTATGCTTGTCCACATTAAGTTCAGACATTCCTTAGGAGCATCTTTGATGCATACTTGATGCTCCTAAAGTGCATCCAGTGAAGTGTGTACAGATGCATCTGTTACTCGTGCTGCTCCTGTGTTCAATGGCAGAGAGTGGTTTTGCTATATTTGTTGTGATAAGTGGGTAAAAAGTAGTTTCAATACATTTTTTTGCGAGAAAGTCCAGCTAAAACAGCCTCTGTGCAGTCAGTCATTACAATTATGTTCCTGCCTTAAAATGCAGGTACCATCACTGGGAATCCCCAGCAGCTGATGCATCAGATCTGGTCGCCTCTTGGGGATTACCCCTACTGTTTGTGGCGGTTGGAAGTAGAGTTTAGGGATTTTTATGTACAGTGGCTCAAACTGCAAGCACAAGAATAATAAAAGTGAACATATTTTGCTGGAAAGTTTCGACATTTTAAGTTAATTTAGGCGTTAATGAACAGTTTCAGTGGAGAGGTCATATCACTGCCTCAACACTGCTCTGTCTGTCTCCCTTCCAGCTCCCAGATCAGCATCTCTGAATGGTTGATGCGCTTCGAGTCCAAATGCTAGGCCTCTATATTTTCTTTCAGGCTATTTGAATACCTGATAGAAATTAAAATAAAAATGCAATATAGTTGCTTCCGGAGACAGAGAAAAAGTTATTAAATCTGAGTAAGCAAAACTAGATGATTGCTACAGTAGTATTAACGAATCCTCTCTTTGAAGTGAAAAAATAATGATAACAATTCTGCACATTGCACTATGACTTCAAATTTCCCTTCTCCTAAATTTTTACTGCTAAAGCTTTGAAATATAAATGGTGTGTTGATTTTAGCTTGAGCGTGTTTTGCTGCTATGACCAATAAAGCAGATAAGGATGGACATTGGATAGCATGTGTATTTTAAGATGATAACACTGTGATAACAGCAGTTAATGTTTACAGCTATAATACTGAAAACAGTCCCTGCAGTTATCAGGGAGCTGAAGCTGAGCCAATCCTATGATCATCCTGGTTTGGGAGGAAATTGAATACAACTTTGGATGAATGGATGGACTTTGACATTTTCACAAACCCAATCATTATTTCATTAATATTTAATCCCAGTGATGTTTGGAGACAGAATAAACATCATGAAACATAATAAATAATCAATTTCAAGAACGTTACAGCACTGAATTGAAATTCAAGAACCTTTCCGGTTTTTAACACAGTAATATTGAAACACTGTGTAGAGTTACATGCAGACGTTTTAGACTTTACTGTATTTAATATCTGAAAATACTATACCAATTCTAGTATGATGGTTAATGAGGAAAATTGTTAAAACATTCAGAAATCAGATAAAGAATAAAAATTATGCAACACTTGTATCTATATAAAATATGTTGGTTATGAAATCTTCCATAAAGAAAAATCGGCCTCTCAGACCATTTAATATTTTCCTATTTAACGCCCACATTTTGCAGCTGCTAAATCACAAGATCAGCACAAGTCAGCTGGCAGATGATCCATCCATTCTTAAAAAGTGATATAATCCTCATTCCTTA